CCCCCCCCCTTAAGAAAGTATTAAACAATATGACAAATTAAAAACACATTATCAAAACATAAAACCATAATTAAAACAAACACTCTGCCAAAACACTCCCCACGCCTCCATTAGCCAACCATATTTGATAACAATCAGAGGTTTCTATAAAAATATAAACTCTCTTATTTAAAAGATACGTACCTTTTGAATGCTTTCATCCACCAACCCTCCAAGTATATATACTTTTTGTGGATCCACCTCCTCAAGAGCTAGAAAGCAAAAGATGTGTGTATATGTAAAGCAGTGACATTTACACAAGCGTAAGATGGCAACAGCAATGTAAAGAGAAAACAATGATTTGTTCCAAACATTGCAACTATTGTCACAAGTAAGCTACTACATGGTCCAGAAACTTGTGTGTATGTATTGTTTTCTGCAGAAGATACTCACACTTGTTATTTCCAGTTTAGAGTACCGGGAAGGCAAAGGTGATGCTGAACTGCAGCTTCCAACAGCCCAAGCTATCATGATAAGGACTGTTGGGTATTGCAGTTCAGAACATCCAGAGAGCCATACTTCACCTGCACCCAAGTTTAGAGGACTGTTTTTATTTTTCTTAGAAGACAGCCTGAAGATGGAACTATAAATTGCAAGAAATCCCTGCTTAGCTGTGATAAAAGAATGCTGAATCAACACATGAAGGGGTGTTCACTAGTTCTGTTTCCTGTACTTTTCAGAGCAGGGGTGTTGGATGTTTTATGCAAAAGGATCAGAGCAAAAAATATAAAAATGCTACAGAAGTTGGGGCAGGTTTGACTAAGATGATTTGAACCACAGTTCAGTAAAAGCTCTAAATTCTTATGAATATTGTTCATTTCAAATAAGCAAATGCTTTAATTAGAATCTTTCATACCAAAGATACAACATACCATTCTCAGCATCTGGAGTGAGGTAAACAATTGTTTCTAAAGGAAACAGATCCAGATAACTTTCAGGAGTAACATCCATCTGAAAAATAATGTGCAATACATTAATAGGAATTAGACAAATGCTTGTTTGAAAGGAGTTCAGCTTGGGGAAATTATTTGAAAAGGAACTGAGTTTAGGAAACTTACTTTTGGGATTACAAACTTACTTTTGGGATTACAATGCCCAACATCTCCCAGCCAGTAAGGCCACTGGTGGGGACCTCAAAAGTTAATTAGTCCAACCTTCTGGTGTATGGGTGCGTGCTTTCAAGTTGCCTGTCGACTTATGCAACCCCATGCATTTTACAGGGGGGGGGGGGGTTAGGCAAGGAATACCCAGATGTGGTCTTGCCAGTACCTTCCTCTGAAATATAGCCTACAACACCTGGTACTAAATGACGCTCTCCCATCCAAATCTAACCAGAGCTAACTAACCCTGCTTAGCTTCCAAGATCAGACAGAATCTGGAGCCTTTAGGGTATCTAGTGCCCCCCCCCTTTCTGGAAGTGCAATAAACTGCAACTACTAGAACAATTGACAGCTGGTGACCAACCAGCCTCTGCTTTAAAATTTCCAGGGAGAATCCACCATCTTCTAATGCAATCTGTCCCACTGTCAAACAGCTCATACAATTAGATAGCTCTTATTAATATTTAGTTGAAATTCCCTCTCTTATAATTCAGGGGTGGGCAACTGTAGCCCTCCAGACAGTGCTGGATTACAGCTCTCATATACCCTCTTCACTGGCTATACTTAGCTAACAGTGAGCTGTAGGTCAAAAAAATCTGGATAGTCACAGGTGCCCTACCTACTCTGTTGTTGCTATTAACTTTATTTATATTTCATATTATTTTTCTAAATTGGGACTCATATAACGAGAAGCCCTGGTGGCGCAGTGGTTAAATGCCTGTACTGCAGCCACTCACTCATAAACCACAAGGCTGCGAGTTCAATACTAGCCAAGGCTCAGGCTTGACTCAGGCCTGCATCCTTCCAAGGTCGCTAAAATGAGTACCCAGCTGTTGGGGGGCAATGAGCTTACAGTTGTAAACCGCTTAGACATCCCATGCGCGATATGAAGCGGTATATAAATGAAGCTGCTTTATTTTGCTTTTATGCTATAACTGGAACCTGCCTTTCATATCCTCCCTTATGGAGTAACAGAATACAAGTTTTCTTCATCATCTATGCAGCAGCTATTTCATGACAGCTATCATTGTTGATTATCTGTTCTCCCAAGTAAACATACACCTGGAAGTCATTCATCATAAGACCCTGTTCTGACAGGAGTCTTAGGATGGATGGCTCTATCTAATGAACTGGGGAAGGGAAAGCAGTTCAACTCAGGAGAGGGAGTCAGGAATAACCAGGTCCATTGATCCCTGTGCTCCTAGCCAACTGTGCTACAAACCAAACACTGCCTATTGTATCAGCAGCAACACTGTTTGGCCATGTGTGTCTTAAAACTGTTTAGGACAGCACAGTTCTATGCCTGCTTATTCAAACAATTCCCACTGGTTTTAATAAGACTTACTCCCTTTGAAGTAAGTGGCTGATCTACCTGTGGGAGTAGATAACAACTCCAGACTACTGCTACATTTTCTGTTAACAGGTAGATTTAATCTTATAAAACATTAACAAGAAAGTGACACAAAGCACGCAGGTTATACACTTTTAGCTTGTTTGGATGGGTTGTTTCGTATCAGGAAAGAGATACTTACAAGATAGTTAGTAAATCCATCATTCATCCTTAGACATGCTTCATAAATTGGGCTATTTTCTACAAACCCAGTGAGATAAAGCCAAAAGGGACTCTGAGATTTCTTGTTTGACCCATAGAGCCTCCTTATCTGGATGGCAAGTCGACTTATTTCCTTCCATGAGGGAAAAAAAGAAAGGAAAAGAAAGCTGTTTAGAACTATTGGCCTTCTAATCCTAGGATTTTCTGATGTAAACATTTCCTATAAAGCTTTCACATCAGCCTTGGCCATATTAACTACAAAATCAAGGGCACTGATGAGTTCAATCCAAAAACAGACCACAGTTTGATACTGTCACATACCAATAGCCATGTCCAACAAAGTTGACATTGGTACAAGTTTCTGCCCTGCTGTGATACCAACTTTATCCTCAGTTTTAATACAAAGATACCCTTGACTGTCCTCTTCCAGTGGGCATCGGCAAAGCCATCTCTGTGCAACTTCCCACCCATTCCAAGAGATGAAAGATGTAGTCAGTTGTACAGAAGAACCAGCCAATATTTGAGACTAATCGGTGAAAGAGGGGCAAGCCATGCAATGGCAACAGCATGAGGCAAGTAGGCTAAGAAAGGAAGCTAGAAGGAGGCCATGACAGCTGACAAATAAAGGCCAGAAAGTCTCCAACATGCCTGTGATTTGTGCTGCACTCTCCTTCACTCTAGAGAACTCAAAACCCTAGCCTTGTCCTTTGCAGTTAGAACACCTGGTCACTCTAGAGAAGCAGAGAATATTCACATGCTTCTCCCACATTAAAACAAATTCCCCTGCTCATATAACTTTCGGTATTTTTTCTCTAACTGTCTGGTAAGTCCATAATAAAGTCCATAGCTTGACTCTAACTTGGGAGTATACAGGCAGATTTGTTATTGTTGCTTCTAGATACAAGGAACAATTCAGCATTTAGT